TAAGAAAATTATTTCATGTCAACAGAAAAATATAAAAGAAGAAGAATGGTTTTCTTAGAGCGTGAATGGTAACCATTATGTTCCAGAAACAATTCCTGGAACAGAAATAGATTTTTCTATTTTTGTTCCCAGGACGAATTTCTGAAGAAAGATACCCATTTGATAACGACAAAAAATTTCTATTTTTGAAACAGAAACTTGTTTTATAACAGCATAAAATTTCTATTTCTTGGAACATAAACCCGTTTGAAAACAACACAAATTTCTATTTTCCGGAACAAAAATCCATTTTTTTAGAAATGTTCTCTAAAATGAAAATCAATCAAAACACAAAAACCCTAGTAAAGCCCTAAAGGCTTATTCATTCAAAATATTGTGTTGTTTTTTAGAGTTTTAGGGTTTTTTAGGGGTAAAGACCCCTTTTGGGGGTTAAATCCCTTTTAGGGTTTTTTAAGGGTTAAAACCCCTTTTAAATCCCTAAACTAAGGAGTCTTCAAAAATATCATTTGGGCATCTCAAAAAATTTAAATTTCACTCAAAGTGGGTGGCTACAGGTATTCTAAGCCATTATGTGAAGTTTTGAAATTTTTGATTTTTTGATTTTTTTTGAAAAAATTCACCAAATTTCTTATTTTCCCGAAATCCGACTTTTTTTTTATTTTCTGGAATTTTTCAATTTTTATAGATTTTCTAAATTTTTTTTGAGATTTTAAGGAATTTTCCGGATTTTCTAATTTTTTTAATGAATTTTCTAATTTTTTTAGATTTTTTTTTATTTTCCTGCCTGGAATGAACCGGACCAAACCGATTCAGAACAGTCTGACCTGGTCAGACCGGAGCCAAATTTAGGAAGAGATGTGTTTTGAAAAGAGAAGACAATTTCTTTTACAAATGATTTTCATTTCTCGTCCAAAAACAAAAAACTTATTTTTTTTCTAATTTTTTATCTAGAACCAGTTCTGGAACAAAAAGTTATTTCAGAAATAAAACAATAAAATTACGTTATCAAACGGATTTCTATTCCAAACCTATTCTCGAGAACAGAAAATTAATTTCGAATAAAAATAGAATGATTATCACGCGCGTCTTTGGTGTCAAACAAAATCCAGCTTTCATGGGAAAGTTCCTCTTGTACAAAAAATTCCGTCGTTGAAAGTAGAACTCTGCCAAAGTCGGCTGTTCATCCCACTGTTGGTATGTCTCCATCATATTCCCCCACGCACTTCGGTCCAAATGCAACATTGACCACAGTGTCCCCTCGTGGTTCGTGCCCAAGAAAAGCGGAGCATAGCTATAAAAAATCCTAAATTAAACCGGTCGTGATATTCTGACAAAAAAAAATCGATCATAATATTAATGTCTTAATTTTTAACTTTTTTTTTTTTTACACATTTGGCTAGTGAGGTTGCCGAACACGAGCGAGGGCGTCGGGCCTTGCCTGGTCTGGGTGGGGGTCGATAGGTGAGGGTCGCGACCCCCTCGTCGGCCAACAGGCAAGGGCCACGACGCCCTTGCCCAGATTAGGCGAGGGTCGTTGGCCTGCCAGAGATGTGAAAAAAAAAGAAAAAATAAGAAAGAAAAAATAAAAAAAATTAATAAAATATCATAACATTATAAAAAATTGTTCACGTCAGCTGCGGCTATGCCATATAAGACGTCCGGCGTTGACATCACAGATTTCTACCTAAAATTGACCGAATGGACTCAATTGATAAAATTAAAAGGTTTAAGAGTGAATTGATAAAAATGCAGTATGTTTAAGATTTCTTGGATAATTTTCCCTGCAATTAATGCCTTCATAATGGCCACTTTCTCTTCCACTGCTAATTGTGGCAATAAACAAAACATCTTTCAATGGTAATGTTTAAAATCAATGTCTGCATGGGACCGAAACTTTCTTTTATATACTGTGAATCTGTAGCTTGGGTTGACATAGTATGAAAGGCCTGTCGTCCTTTCCTGTTCACCAACTATTTTCTCCAAAATGGGTCTTCTTCTTACGTCATTCAATTATGAAATGGAGAAGCTGTAATTGTCACACCCCAAAACCTACCAAGATGAGGGGTGACACGGCCGTCCTTCCACCCGAAGGACGCAGCCTTAAACCACAAGGAATTCGACTCCCAAAAAGTCCCAACGACATTGCTCTTGCTCTATTGGCTACTAACCAAGAAACCTAAAAAGATTGGGGAAAGAGAGGGGTGAGCAAGCACAGCTCAGTAAGCAGTGCGTATACATAAAGCCATACCAGAAACTCGTACTTCAATCCAAAGATATAACATATAACATATATATATGAGATACGCACTGCTTACTGAGCTGTGGTTGCTCACCCCTCTCTTTCCCCAATCTTTTCAGGTTCCTTGGTTAGTAGCCAATAGAGCGAGAGCGATGTCGTTGGGACTTTTTGGGAGTCGGATTTCTTGTGGTTTGAGGCTGCGTCCTTCGGGTGGAAGGACGGCCGTGTCACCCCTCATCTTGGTAGGTTTTGGGGTGTGACAGTAGTATTCTGCCGTGACTGTTTCACAGCTTCACTGATATTTACTATATTTGATCAATTTAAGCATCCTTGGTCATATCTGATTGCAGCAAATGTCTTGATTATATGATAAAATGAAACCCAAAAAAAGAAAAAAATAGCGGCCGGTTCAAAGTTTAACGGGTTGTGTTCTTGATTCCAAAAATTAGAAACCAACATGATCTGGGACTTACTCATCTTGCAACTAGTCACCTCTATTTATGACGCAAAAAGAATTTTTGGCTGTTGGTGCCACAGTGGGCACATTTTAGAATTTTCGACGATATAATAAAAAGTTTATAATTTTGGTGGGATTAACCGTTGAGGAAAATTTCTTGTTTACACTCGGGATATGTGAGTTTACTCCATCTTAGCCATTGAATAATATGAGCTTTACAAAAATATCATAGGTTAATTCCGAAAAAAAAGCACTAACTTTACATTGAGGGACAATTCTGGCCTGAACTTTTTTGTGTCTCATGAAAATTCACCAACTTTCACTTAAATCTCAAATCTGGCCTGAACAATTTGAAAATTTCACATCACGGGGGCTAGATTTGAGACTCGAGTAAAAGTTTGTGCTTTTTATTAAGATAAAAAAAAATTCGGGCCAAAATTATCACTCAAAATTAATTTAGTATTTTTTCTTTCGGAATTAGGCCTAAATATCACGTGATCTTATGATTGAGATGTATCTAGCTTACGTGCACAAAATATTCACACTTCTTTTCACTTTTTACTGCTGCGGCAGGCCGGAAAACGAAGAAAGCAAAATTTTCTCCTTTTCTTTATTTATTTTCCTCGACAAAGACTTTTTACTTCCACAGATAAATATATATTTATAGAACATCTGGGTCCCTTCGTTGGAAACCATCTACTGCTTCATCAAATTAATACCAAGCCAAATAGAAAAGTGGATTTCGGACGCGAGCTCAAACCTGAGACTTAATTCAACAAACCTTATACGTGAAACTTAGTCCCTCGTATCACGTGACCGCAGTAAGAAAGATAAAGCGGAGTAAACTCGTATTTATCCTGTAATGCGGTGCATAATCTATTAGTGAATTATTGATGCCATCATCTTTACCTACCAAATTGCTCAGCAGAGGAACTTTATAAGCGACTTTCAATATTCAGAGCACGGGGTTCAACGTTTGAATCTTTCTAGAACTCCAGCATGGACTGAACACGAGGTTGGTCGACCAAGTCCACGAACGTCGGAATCTTTTTTCCAAGTCAAATCTCGTGATCTCCGAATATATAGTTTCACGACTCAGAAGGGGGACTCTTGTCTTTGTTTCCATTGTGTTGACAACTTGACTATAAAGAAACTTCGACTGCCAGAAACTATTCAAAGGAAAGATATATCAGAAGAAAGGAATAAGAGTTGTCAGCTCATTTGGTTCCAATGATATAATAATGGGAATGTCAATGCAATAAAGTTTTAATAACTATCATGCGGTTTGGCTTGAACAACGTAATGCGATTTGCACCGTTTGGTTTCTTGGGGTCTAGGTGCTGTGTTTCGGGGTCCTGGATTTCGATACTTGGGGTTCCGAGTCCGGCCCTCAATGTGTTGAGCTTGAGCACCGGGGTACGACGGTCGTAGCTTGTGATCCTGAGTATGGTCTTGAGGTCCTGGGTACAACTCCCTAGTTCCCCAAGCGGGGCACGAATGTTACGTGTGCTATTACCTTAGTTGTCAAATGCGACCGAGTATGGTCGTAGTAGCGGTTGAGGGGTTCGATATTAGAGTTTGGGTATCTGAAATGATGAGGGTCTGTTGACTGATTTGTTTGGCACTAGAGTTTCTTCTTTTGAAAATCTATGACAGCAGTTTGGTCTTTTTGACTATGCTGTTTTGTGCTTAGGTGCAAAAGTAAGCGAAGTGAATTTACTTGCGCGCGAATTTACTTGCGGTGCAACAAAGGAGGAAACAGACCTAACAACAGAGAAGCATACTAGATAATTCAGGCATGTCTCAGATTGCAACAGCTTGTAAAATGAACCTGCAAGTTCTGCAACATTTCTTGGGGGTGGGTCTTCCATAACTTGGTAGATTTCCTCATAGAAGGCGTCCTTTCTTTGCCATGATATCAGCGCGTTGATTCGCTTCTCTGAACCATCCTATGTTGAGGGAGATCTCCTGAGGAGAGTCTGCATTCAAGGAACAAAGGTCGTCAATCGCCATCATCGCATGTATCATGTAGGAGCGTTTGGACCAGTGTCGGAGCATGCTTTCTGGCATTTTATGCTTAAAAACACGATGTTCCCTACACTCCTGAAAAACGAGATGAAAGAGATGGAATTCACATGTAGCTGGGTCCCATGCGTTGCTTTCTTCTGGAAAACCAGTTTGGACAATTATTCGGCGACCCTTGTACTCGGGTTGAAACCAGCCCCTGCTTTGAATTGTGATGGACGACGAATCTCTCTCACCCTCTTCTTTGTCCTCATCTTCGACTTTTTCGCATAAACAAATTTCAACTCGACGCCTCCTCCGTCCGTCAAGGGGGTCCACCCATCCCTTCTGTAGTTTTTGTTGGCGATGGCCCTCTCTGCACGTCGGGTCAACTCAAAAACACGACGAAAGAGAAGAGACAGGTTTCAACTTTCGATTCAATGCACGTTTTTTCTGTGTTGATTCTAATTCCAAGAAAGTAGTCAACCTCGGGTCACAAACCGCAACGCCTAACGTGCCATTGAAACTCCCTCTCTCAACCTGAAAAGTTTCCACTTGTGTACTTGGTTCTCCCTCTCTCACCCTGAAAAGTTTCCGCTGGTGTACTTGGTTCTGTGTTCCTGATTCTCCCTCTCTCCGGATCAATGGTCGGGGCATTTGTCAATGGTGGAACGCCCTTCACCGGCCGAAACAGAGCAAGTTTCTTCCTTTTCTCCTTGTTTTTCGTGTGGTCGTCTCTGTTTTCGAGTTCTTGTGCAGCAAATTCGATCTCGCGAGGGCAGTTTATCGGAGATGGCGAGACTCTGATTTCTTCTTCTGGGAATTTCGAACTGGGGTTCTTTAACCCTGCAAATTCGTCTCTTAGATATGTCGGCATTTGGTACCGCAAGATAAGTGTTAAAACAGTCGTGTGGGTCGCGAACAGAGATAGCCCTGTTTCTGACAAATCTGGAGTTTTGACAGTTTCAAGTGATGGAAATTTGATGGTTTTAGATGGGCATAATCGCACAGTTTGGTCAAGTGGCCTCAATTCTTCCTCTGTGGCCACCGACTCAACAGCTGTTTTGACAGATACTGGAAATCTTGTTCTTTTGGCCAGTGCAGATGCTGACTCTGCTAGCGCTGATGGTGATATTAGCAATTCACATTGGCAAAGCTTCGAACACCCGACAGACACGTACTTGCCCGGCATGAGAGTGAGGGTGAATTCTGCGGCTGGAGAGAACCGTGCCTTCAGGTCGTGGAAATCGTCGGACGACCCTTCCCCTGGGAATTTCTTTATGGGCGTCGATCCCCGGTTGCCGCCACAGATAGTGATCTGGGGCCAGTCAGGCCGGGAATGGAGGAGCGGGCATTGGAGCGGGCTGATTTTCACCGGCGTGCCAAATATGAACCCCCATTATCTGTATGGGTTCAGTCTCTTGAACGAGGCAGACGGAAGCACGTACTTTACGTACACGCCATTGAATAGGTCCGATCTCTTGATGTTCCGTATACTTTGGAATGGGACGGAGGAGCAGTTACGCTGGGATGAGACTATTAATGAGTGGACTGTACTGCAAGAACAGCCTGGTAAGGAATGTGACCTCTATAATAAGTGTGGAGATTTTGCAATATGTAACGAAAGGAACTCTCCCAAATGTAGTTGCATGGAAGGGTTCAGTCCGAAGTCACCGGATCAATGGAACAGGGGTAACTGGTCCGCGGGTTGTGCTCGGAAGACCCAATTACAGTGTCGGGACAACAGCAACATTTTAGTGGGAGATGATGCCGCGATGGACAGCTTTTTGAAATTGGATGGCATGAAGTTGCCAGATTTCGCGGATTTAGTTCCAGGCATTAGCAGTGAAGAGTGTGAGGCGAAGTGTCGGGAGAATTGTTTGTGCAACGCGTATGCTTTTGGAGGCATGGGGTGCATGCTGTGGAGCGAGGATTTGATAGATGTGCAGCAATTTGCCATGGGTGGACTGACCCTCCAAATTCGTCTCGCCAATTCTGAATTAGGTATGATCTCTTTTTGGTATTTCCCTATGCAATTTAAAAACTTGATGATCTTCTCCCAAGTAATGTTTCCTATTCCTATTGATCTTCTTTAGTGTGATAAAGGCCAACACCGATTGTGTGACTTAGCAAAAAAAGCACTGAGATTCTCATGTATAGTATTAGGTTAATAAAGGTCAGGGATTATACCAATTAGTGTAACTGAATAACATGAATCTAGCCTTGTGTAGTATCAGAAAGGAATGAAATTAACCACTGTCAACAGAGATCACCATAAGATGTTTCCAGTCTCAAAGAAAAATTCCGGCATAACCAGGTGTTTTCAAGCTTATATGAAGGTGAAGTATCAGAACATTGCGCATGAAAAGAACCTATTCATCAGCATATCATGATTTGTTATATGGCTTAGACGAGATCTCTTTTGTCTGACCTGCCTGCAACTAGAAGTTGTGCGTCATACAATAGACAATACATCTATTGTCACAGAGTTTATCTGTGCTAATGACTTTGGATATTTTGTAGAATACTTGAACTCTTTGCAACTAGTGATGACCCGTATAACGTAATTTCTTTCTCTTTTCTATGAATAGGAACAAAGAGCAAACTATCGAACCTGTTCATAATAATTACTGTCTTGGTTGGAGCGTTTGTTCTCGGTGTAGCAGTATGGTTGTTGTGGAGGTTCAAGGACAATTTGAAAGGTGAGATTTTATTCTGTGGAGTGAATGATTTATTGGTCTTTATTTGCTTATTTACATGTTAGTGAATTTTTAATACAGGATTCTCGATTTTCTATCAGAAGAACAAGGAACTTCCCTTGTCTGATGATTCTGTTAAGAACGAAGAGCTATCTGCTGAATTATCCGGAGCAGATGGTCTTGGTAGAGATGCTAAGCAAGTAGGAGGAGCTGATATAACAGTGTTCGACTTCAGTTCCATCGAAGCTGCGACGAACTTCTTTTCTGAAGAAAACAAGCTCGGACTGGGAGGATTTGGTCCTGTTTACAAGGTAAAGCCTGATCACCAGTTGAAGATTTTGAGATGTCATAGAGGCCTAATTAATTGTCTACGCTCTGAACCTGCAGGGAAAGCTTTTTGAAGGACAAGAAATAGCTGTTAAGAGGCTTTCGAGGAAGTCGAGCCAAGGGCTTGAGGAATTTAAGAATGAGGTTATGTTAATTGCGAAATTACAACACAGAAATCTCGTGAGACTCCTTGGATTCTGCGTTCAAGGGGAAGATAAGATGCTCGTTTACGAGTACATGCCCAACAGGAGCTTGGATTGTTTTATTTTTGGTGAGATGAGTCAAACATCTGAATTTAGTCTTTTGCATTCCATGAAAGAATTGTCATGAAATTTATTCATGTGTTTTTTCTTTACTTTTCAAAATTTGATGCAGATTCAGCGAATCGAGCGCTATTGGACTGGAAGAAACGTTTTGAGATTATTGAAGGGATAGCACGAGGCCTCCTCTATCTCCATCGAGACTCTAGACTAAGGATTATCCACCGTGACCTGAAAGCTAGTAACATTTTGTTGGACCAAGAAATGAACCCGAAAATATCGGACTTTGGCATGGCGAGAATTTTCGGTACGAACGAAAACGAAGCGAGTACCAATCGGGTGGTTGGCACATAGTAAGTTGAATTTCTTCCTAGCGAGAAATAGGAAGTGCATATCTGACTCCAAATGTTTGATCAGTGTGGAGTGGACTGATTCATCTGCCAATTTAAATTGCAGTGGTTACATGTCTCCAGAGTATGCGATGGAAGGTTTATTTTCGGTCAAATCCGATGTGTACAGCTTTGGGGTATTATTACTGGAGATCATTAGCGGCAAGAAAAACCTTGGCTTTCGCACGCCGGAACAATCTAATCTAATCCGCCATGTGAGTTTATTTTTGTTTGCACTCGAGCTACTAGGCACCAAAACTCTCATTCTAGAAGATGTTTGCATCTGCTCCGATTGTTTTGTTAAAAGCTGGCCTTGATTAGGGTTGTCTCAGTCTGGTTTCCTTTTCTCCATTTTTTGTAGCTTAGAAACAATCATTCATATCAAAAAGTAAATGATATCAACGGATGTTATCCCACTTTAGGACAAGATACATTTGAACTCGCTATTCGTTTGTTTACATCTAAGAGGTTATTTGAACTGTTTTTCACACAAGTGCACGACGATTTCAGGCTTGGCATCATTGGAATGAAGGGAAGGGGATGGAACTTATTGATCCCTGTATCAGGGGCGCATGCTCTATGGATGAGGTATTGCGATGCATACAAGTCGGACTGTTGTGTGTGCAGGACTCTGCCATAGATAGACCGGCCATGCCCTCCGTTGTGCTACTATTAGCAAGTGAAACAGTGGATCTTCCCTTCCCGAAACTACCCAGGTCAACCTCGATCACGGGCTCCATACATACTTCTTCTTTGTATGAAAGCCAAGAAGTTGAGTCCTCAAACGGCATAACAGTTAGCTCGGCGGATGGTAGATAGGGCCAATGTGATTCGTTTGTGTTGTTTCGTCTGTTTGTTCTTGTGATCGTTACAATTAAGAGAAGTGTCCTTAGAAGTGTGCGGATGTATTGTTGTCAAAAGGGCGCACGTGAAATAGAAAAATCACAACTTGATTCCTTGGTCTTGTTATGAAAGTGTCTTCATTGCTTTTTAAACTGTAGTATCGCGTTTGATTGCATTTAGGACTAGCATTTCAGGTAAAAGTTGTTGCTGTGTGACCTCGGGTTTGAGTCGAGGAAATAGTTTTCTTGCAAAAATTGCAAGGTGGGGCTGCGTACATTAGACCCGAAGTGGTCAGACATGTCCCATCTTCCCGCGCATAGCGGAAGCTCCATGCACCGGCTGCCCGTTTTATTCCAGCTTTCTGCAGTTTGCTGTGCCTGAAGTGAGAATTCATCTTTTTGGGACGGTTCAATTTTTGGAGACAAAGTCGATCTTGCTTAACTAGTGAAATATAAAATTCTGCGATTTGTCAAACAGTTTCAAACTTTTAGAACAAATCGATGCCTACATAAATCTATCAGAGTCGGAGGCCTCCTGTAACTCTGCTTAGGGTGAGGTTTAGCTGTAGGTAGCAGCAGCGTTCATGTTGCTTCCGAGACACTTGTCATGCATTCATCGAGTGTTTGTTCGCCTACACGTACACTTAGCAATGTTTCCGAAACCCTACTCGCCCGGCATCTGTCAGCCGACGCCGCGAGACTCCCGCCAACCAACGAGAGACTCGCGCTGACCAATGCCATTCCAGCCATCATCGCCACTGCGCCCCCACCTCGAGGAGCACCGTTCCCTTAACTTCTCTTTCTCGACCTCAGAAGAGGATCTAAGGCTTGATTTGAGGTTGACTGGCCCGAGCTTCGACCGCCATCGACGACTCAATATCGGGTAAGTACTACCTTCCCTGTAATTATGATTTTGAAAAGAATTTATAAAGGCGACGATTTAAAGGAAGACCGGTTCAAAGTCTTAATATATCAATCATCGTACGTGTTTTGTCTGTGGGTGAAAGAACGGTTCAAAGTACCTTATTATAACCACAATTGTATACGTCCTTGTGTGTAATAAAAGAAGCTTTCAAAGACAAAGAAAGCAATCTCCGTGAACCTTAGTTCTGGCCTAAAACTAGTAAATTGATACTTTATGCTCTTTTGTCAACCCGAAGAGATTGCTTGGTTCAGGAGAAATCGCACCGAGACACATGCCTGAGAAAGCAGGAACAACTCGACAGGAAGAGCAGACATGACCGTGAAATCCCGCCGAAAACCGGACAAGATAGCCCAGACCGTGACCCAGTTCGACGCGAATTGACTGTCATTGAACTTGAATTAGATCTAAGCAAAAGAGGGCATCGACCACCTAAGTTCAAGCTATACATGGGTCATGGAGACTCTACAATCCTTTGAAAGTGATTGTTGTTGAGAGACACTGGTTTGACTCGAACCAATTCAGCAATTGGCAGATGAAACACAAGTTGTCGCTCAAATATTGAATATGTGAATGCCAGTGGAATGTTGGCAATCTGGGACATGCATGAACCGAGTCAGCCATTACCAGGGTCCAGTACCACAAGGACTTCCATCCATGACATAAAATTTTGGATGCTGGTCTCTTTCACCCAGCCCCGCAAGTTAAAATTGTTTGCCAGTCATCTTCGCGACATCATCCACGTCTGTTCATGTCGTTATAAAATTGTTTCAACATAATAACAAAATGTTATCTTATAAAGACCGAGTGAGAACGTGTCAATTCATGTCAAATTCAAGTTTAGTTGTGCCGTGCCATCTTGATTCGAGCGGTGTTCTTGTGCCGTGTTTGTATTGCTGCCTCTAGTATCTGTTAATGCCACGGGTGTAGCCAGAAATTCGCCTGAGCACCGCCGGCGATGGTAGAGGAGATCATTTGCCAAAATAGAGTGAAAACAGAGTAAATACAGGAGATCTGCTCCTCTCTCCAGTTTTCTATTTGGTTGTGTGAACTGGAAAATGCCAATCCTAGGTAATATAATGGAAGGGGAAAACTTAGCTAGGAAATTTCTTGATACCCTCCTAATTTGCTGCACGCCATCCGTGTATATGTCCAGAACAGTCATGTCCTGTCCTTTATTTTACCTTTCCTAGATTTCCCTTTTTCATGGAGTATTACACAAATTCCCGCACTCTAAGAATAGATGTCCTTGTCATTGCTGGCCTGTATTGCCCACCGGTACTTCCCCTGTTTAAGAAGTGACCTCTATCTCCCTTACCATCCTACAAGCCTATATGATTTGTACATTTTCCGAGCCATCACGTACCAATGGTCACTCCTTAGACTTGTCGAATCGGCTATGGACCTAGTCCATCTACAGACATCTGCCAAAGGAAAAATGACACTAAAAATGTCATAATTTATATGTGGAGCTCACTTTAGTGCCAAAATTTTTTAAGCGATCACTTGAGTGTTAATTTTGTAAAAAAAAAAAATGATTACTTAAGTGTCATTGCTGATTTGAGAAGCTGGAAAATTTGACGAGGATTTGACGTGGCTCAACGGTAAAGAACCACGCCGTACTTATTTTTTTATCCACATTGGACATCAATTTTTTTTTTCTTTTTCAATTTACAGAGGATTGAAGAAGAAGTTGGTGCTGGTGAAGTGCTGATGAGGACGAACAAGGCAAGGAAGATCTGGACGTAGAGGTGATGGCGAAGAAGAAGAAGAATAATTTGTAACGGCTAATCGAGGACCTCTCACATTTGTTTGCCCTAAATTAACGAAATGGGGATAGATTTGTTCTTCAAACCTTAATCCCTCATTGCTTTTCTCCCTCCTCCATCTTTAGTCACCGCCGCCCTCTATCCTAGTTCCCGTGGCGCTGCCTTCATCGTCAACTTGCGTCTCCCATCGGCTTAGCCCACGATTTGTGTTATTGTCTCTCTTGTTGGCTCCCGATCTCTCTGAAGATCGACCCCATCCTCATTCCACTGTGCCAAAAGCAGACCAAATAAACTGGAATGGAGAAAACAAAAATGTCTTCCTGGTCCAAATCAATGGCAATTGAAGACCCCAGAACACCCATCCCAAAAAATGTAGTGCCATAACGGCCAAGTCAACACTGGTCGTCCATTGATGCGAACCCAAAACCACCGTTTTTCTCATCTTCTCTCATTTTATCTGTGTAACCCGAAATTCATTCTCTAGGAGGAGGAATCGATGGAGCCGGCCACGTCGATTAGAGAGAGAGGCGTCAATCCTTGTTCGACTCTGTAATTTACCTCAAATGAAGTTAATTTAGTAAGAGTCTTTTGCCCATCTTGGACTTCAATTTATTTTTAAAGGGATCAGTGCATTGAAAGTCCTAAAATTTATAACGAAAGTGTAATTAAATTCTAAAACTTACATAAAGTGCAATTAAATCTTGAAATTTATCAAATTGGTATAATCAAGTCTTTCTGTTGATTTCGTCCAATTAAACTAACAGAAATGTTGACATGCTTTGTTAATGTTTGGATTAATACCACGAAAAACCCCAAACTGGTACACTTGTGACAATTTTACCCCAAACTAATTTTTTTACCACGAAAAACCTCAAACTGGTACACCCGTGACAAATTTACCCAAAACTAATTTTTTGACCATAAAAAATCTCGAACTTATACATTTGTGATAAATTTACCCCCTATTAGTTTTCATTAAATTGAATTTTTTTTAATACCACAAAAAATCATAATTTGGTACTCTTGTGACAAATGAAGGGTAAAACATAAAATTAGTACATCCATCAATTGCCGCATAACATTTAACAAAGCAATTTGACAGTAAAATTTAACGGAAATAAACTGAGGCTAAATTTGTCACAGGTGTACTGGTTTAGGATTTTTAGTGGTCAAAAAATTAGTTTGAGATAAAATTGTCACAAGCGTATCAGTTTGGAGTTTTTCATGGTATTAACCCTTAATATTTTCACTCTCCTACATGGCATTGACCTTACTAAAACATGAAATATAATATTAAAATGATATCATTTTGGCCTAAAAAAAAAACAAGGGTCGTCGTCGCCAGACTGTCGCCGAAAAGGGTCGGTGGGGGCTTGGTGACCCTTGACCTAGATCTAGGCGACGGTCGTTTGTCCTCGCCCCAATATGGCAACCCTAGGCTTGACCATGGCGAGGGCTGGCTGATGTGAGACACCCTTGCTGCTGCCTAGCCTAGGCCGCCACACCTGGACGAGGGTCGGTGACCTCGCTCGGATTTGGGCGACGATCTGGGCGAGTGTCACCGAACCTTGTCTTTGGTCGATGAGGGTTGCCAAGCCCCTGCCGATTCTTTCTAGCGACGGTGGGGCGGTGTTGGCGAGGAGCCAACTGCCCTTGCCCTTGCCCATGCCCCTGCCCCTGCCCCATTTTTTTGTGATTTTTTAGATTACTTTTTTTAAAATTTAATTTAATTAAGATTTTGGTTAAAAAAAGTAGGATTCAAGCCAAAACAACGTCGTTTTAGTCTTATATTTCATGTTTTAGTAAGGTAATGCCACGTAGGAGAGAGAAAATATTAAAAAAAGCCACATTAATATTTTCCATTAGTCTAATTGAACGGAGTTAACGGAAGGATTCGATTGCACTTTTTATAAGTTTTAGGATTCAATTGCACTTTCGAGACAAATTTTAGGACTTCTAGTGTAGTTATCCTATTTTTAAAAAAGCCACGTCTTTCTAAAAAATTCAATAAAAAAGCCACTTAGGACTTTTGGTCAAAATTTGTCATCCAACGAAAATTTCTTGTACTAAAGTGAGTGATATATGAAAATTATGACACTTCTAGTATTCTTTTCCTCCAACTAGAGCGTCTCACCATGATACCATTTGTAACGAATCGGATGAGTCCACGTGGGCCTAGTCTCCAAAAGAAATACTCTGAGTAACCATCCAAATGGTGACCATTGCGATATCCCAAGTACCAAAAGGGAGAGGCTTTTTTTGAGCGTCACACAAGTTAACACCCACCAAAATGGTTACCAAATTGTGTGGTTATTCAGAACACTCACTTTGGGAGCTTGGCCCACGTAGACAGGACCAAGTCGTTACAATCACCGTCCAAATATTTTCATGTTCTTACTCTTTCCAAGCATTGAAGAATAGAACTTCATCAAACTTTTTATTAATTTTTTCTTAATGGTTATTTCACCAATACCATTGCATGTCGCTACTAAGATTCGTTTATATATATTCCAGATGACGCCTCATGTTGCTGCAATCCTGCGACAATCTACAAGTCATTTTCAAGTTAAGCCACTATACGGAAGAAAGAATTCCGTTGGTCAAAGTAACTTGAATGAACTTTTAACTCCGGAGTAACCTTACTTGAATCAAATACAATCAGCGCAAAATTTGTCAATGATCAACCCAACCCAAAAACGGAGCAGTTCGAATATCGAAGTACCAACTTCAGGAGAAGAAAAAAGCTGAAGCATACAGATGATTGTTTTCCTTTCTGTAACTCCTTAGCAATTTTATGTTGTTAAATCTACAAGATCACAAGCATGTATTGACTCGCAAGATGATATCACGGGTTTTAGCTTTGTTGGCTTGGGATGAATTTCGAGTGCCATAAAGCCAGTCATCTCCCTCTTGTATACAGCAGGAAGAGTGGAGGCATTAAAGTTCAGCAGATGACTTCAATCTCCTAACTCCTGAATGTCTCGATATCCTCGTCAATTATAAGGAAAGAGGAAAAGAAGCAGCGAATAATTTTATTGGTTCAGGTGGATCCAAATATTACCTGGTAAACGGCAAAACCGCGTCAACTTTGAACGGTGGAGTAGAATTGCCAAATCTTAGCAGGTTATGGAGGCTACAATATTTTCGAAAACAATCGCTGTTGAGAGCCCCAGATCTGACTCAAACCATTTTATTTGCCCAATGAAACACTTCTGACCATAAATATCTATATTCCAATGAATGCTGGTGTTCTATGAAGGCACTTGAACTGAGGAAGCCTCTATATATCTTGCTTCAACTGAAAACTAGTTTATTCTTTAAAATGAACCTTACTTGAAACGGACTCAAAGGGAATTTAAATATAAGCTTGGATCGCGGGTCTTACTTCGCAGTGCTCCCCGGTTTATTCTTTTTGATCTGCCTATAAGAGGTGAAGTTTCGCAGGCATTTTTTCACAAAATACTTCTTGAATCCGTTCATCATCGTTCTGATGACTGTGCACTTGTTTTCTTTGCTCGTCTTCTCCCTGTTTCAAGCGCTGCAAAGCAGCAAAATTTTCAATATAACTGCATCAACGCCGCTTGTTCAGAACCAAACCCTTGTCTCTCGTAGTCAAATCTTTGAGCTTGGGTTCTTCACGCCTAATGGATCAGCAAAGCAGTACATAGGAATATGGTACAAGAACATGACTCCCTCCAGAGTTGTCTGGGTGGCCAACAGGGACAAGCCACTTGGACCCACAGATCAATCTGCGAGTTTTGTAATTGGCGGAGATGGAAATCTGAAGCTTCTTGATGGGCAACAAAACACTGTCTGGTCTACTAATGTCACGACAAAGTCGAATTATTCTCTAGCAGTGCTTTCAGACTTTGGAAACCTTGTTCTTCAAGATTTAAATGCGAATGAAATGTGGGAAAGCTTTGATGAGCCAACCGACACTCTCCTGCCAAACATGAAGGTTGGAGTAAACGTGAAAACAGGAAAGAAACAAAACTTGATTTCCTGGAAAGGCGAAGATGATCCCTCATTCGGAAGTTTTGTCCTCGGAGTGACATCGGAAACACCACCTCAGGTTTTCCTTTGGAATGGATCAAGTCCTTACTTGAGAACTGGACCGTGGGATAACTCCAGGTTCATCGGAATACCGACCATGGCTGGGACATACCTGAGTGGCTATGATGTCCTGCAAAATATTGACCAGGGAACATCATATTTTTCCCTCTATAATTACAACAGCTCCTTCTTTGGATATATTTTCATCTCAACAGAAGGATCAATAAAATTTATGTATTGGGACGATGGATGGTCAACAGACTGGGAGTCACCGGTACCAACTAACCATTGTGATATTTATGGAACGTGTGGCCCTTTTGGAGTTTGCGACCCGCTTAGTTCACGTATATGCAAATGCTTAAAAGGGTTTAAACCAAGGTTAGATGAAGAATGGAACAGAGGAAACTGGACCAGAGGGTGCCTTAGGGATATCGAATTGAATTGTCAGAAATCCGCAAGTGCAGCAGCTTCAACGAGTCTGGAAAAAGATGTATTCTGGCAAATGAAACAGATGAAGTTGCCTGATTCTGCTGATTACATGTCTAACATAGCCGATGCAGAAGGATGTCAAAGTTGGTGCCTAGGAAACTGCTCGTGCTTGGCCTTTTCTTATGTGGATACTATAGGATGTATGACTTGGAGTAAAAACCTCCTAGATATTCAGCAATTCTCCACGGCAGGCGAAGATCTATTTATTCGACTCGCGGACGCGGATACAGGTTGGGAGTCATGAATTAAAATGCGTTTAATTTTGCAGTGCCCGTAATTCTTACAATATATTTTCCCGCTTTAGGTGTACCTACGCAGACAAAACTCATCATCAGCCTAAGTACTATTTCTGCCATCGTGCTATTGGGAGCTGGCATTTCAGTCTGTGGTCTCTCCAAGTGGACAGGTAATAAAAGATGTGCCGCTTATTACTGTCTTGAGGGTGATTTCGCGTTAACCACGATATAAGAATCTTGTATGATTGGTAAAACCATGGCTTCAGAAGCTTGGCAGTTACTACCGAAAAAACTGTTGCTTCTCATGTTCTCATGCTTATCTTCAGTTGTTTTCATTCTGTTTGTGAAATGCAGGGAACTTTAGGAAAATGACAATTCCAAGGCCGCTTAGGCCACTGGCCAAAGCCAACAGATCAGAGGAACTACTAAGGGAAATTGCATGGAAAGAGCAAATGAAGCAAGGTGATGCATCGGAATTGCTAATTTATGATTTTGACAGCATACTGCTTGCCACGGACAACTTCAATGCGAAAAACAAACTCGGGCAAGGAGGGTTTGGCCCTGTTTATAAGGTAAAAAAAAAAAAGCCTTCTCCGAGGGAAATAAAAATATCATCCAAAATCTGATAGTTATGTTCGTTTGGAAACAGGGAAAGCTGAATGATGGTAAGGAGATAGCTGTGAAGAGACTTTCGAGCAGTTCAGGCCAAGGCATAGCAGAGTTCAAGAATGAGATCCTTCTGATATCCAAACTTCAACACCGAAATCTGGTGAGACTTGTTGGCTACTGCACTGAAGGAGAAGAAAAGATACTAGTGTACGAGTACTTGCTGAACAAGAGCTTGGATGCCTTTCTTTTTGGTTTGTCTCACTCTCTGAAGAACTTATTTCCGCTTTCAACAGAATATGGTACTGAAACTAGATATTGTTTCTATATGCTATCTTGTTTAGATTCAATAGGGAATACAAAACTTAGCTGGGCCATACGCTTTCGCATTATCCTCGGGATCGCGAGAGGGCTGCTGTACCTCCACCACGAATCTTGCGTCAGGGTCATACATCGAGATTTGAAACCAAGCAACATTCTCTTGGATGAAAAGATGAATCCCAAGATTTCAGATTTTGGACTTGTGCGGATGTTTGAAGGCACTCAAGTTTTGGTTAATACTCACAAAGTTGTCGGGACACTGTAAGCTTTCTATCATCACTCTTGAGAGGAGTTACTCATGAGGCATATTGTTACCTAGTATAATACGCTCCCCCTTCCCCTCGCCCATGTTCCTACTTTTATCCTCTATTATTACCGAGAAAACTCCTCCATGTACATCCAATGGTCCAATAATCAGTTCGCTCCGAGGTAATTATAGACATGCGCTGTAATACAAATGGTAAAAGTTATGAGAAAAACAGTACTAGTCAAGTTGGAAGTCGATATTCGATCAAAAAAAAAGTTCGAAGTCGATATCACCCTCCAGTATTCTGACCTCTCATGCAATCATCCTAGAGTCTGTGATTCTTAGTTTGAACTGGATATCGTGAATCCTCCACATATATGATATGTATACCTTTATTATGACTATGGCATCCTATCTACGAGAATATAACATGTCCAAGCCATACAGCGGCTACATGTCTCCTGAGTATTCCATGGGTGGGATATTTTCGGAGAAATCAGATGTTTATAGCTTTGGAGTACTGATATTGGAGCTTATCAGCAGCAAGAAGAACACCAGTTTAAATTATTGTGGACGGCATCTCAATCTCCTCGCTTATGTAAGTGCAAGATTTAACTTTGGACTAATGTATCTCTATTTCAGTTTTCAACTATTGGTAGTCCATGGGGCAATCTAACAATCGACCAGTTGTTCCAGGCATGGCACTTGTGGTGTGAAGGCAGAGGATTGGAGCTAATGGATGAAGCCATTGCTGACGCATTTTCACCATCAGAAGTTACGAGATGCATTCAGATAGGGCTTCTATGTGCGCAGGACCAATCTACAGATAGACCCAACATGTCGGCTATAGTGCGAATGCTAAGTGGGGAGTCCGATCTTCCACAGCCGAAGCAACCGACATTTACATTTCAAAGCTCACCAAGCCACGAAGTCCAACCACAAGAGGAAATTATCTGGTCCAGGAATACCATCACCATTACTATGGTTGAAGGAAGATAAAATCTTCGTATGCATTATCTCCATCCAATTCATCATGCCATGGATTCAGTGGTTTATCAAAATAATGTTAGTACTTACATATCCCAAAATCTGTATATAATACACATACAAGATCAGAATGAGTTATATCGCTTTAACATAATTATATACATATAATTGACATTCCTTAAATCCATAATATCATAACAAACATCAAGGGTCTCGTGCTCCCCTTTCCCCTTTTCTATTGGTCATGTGAAAATATTAAGGGTTAATACTACGAAAAACTCCAAATTGGTACACTTGTGACTAATTTATCCTAAACTATTTTTTTGACCACTAAAAACCCCAAACTGGTACACTTGTGATAATTTTACTCTCTGTTAGTTTCCGTTTAATTTTACCATCAAATTTCTGAGTTGGATGACACGTGGTAGTTCACGAGTGAATCGGTTTGGGGTTTTACCCTCCGTTTGTCATATGTGTCCCAATTTGTGATTTTTTATGGCATTAATCTAATTTAACGGAGTGTAAATTTGTCACAAATGTACAAGTTTAGGGTTTTTGGTGATCAAAAAATTAGTTTGGGTAAATTTATCATAGGTGTACCGGTTTGGGGTTTTTGGTGGTGAAAAAATTAGTTTGAGGTAAATTTGTCACAAGTGTACCAGTTTAGGTTTTCCGTGGTATTAATCTTTATATTAAAGGCAACCCTAGGTAATAAAATTGAAGGGGAAAACATAGCTAGGAAATTTCTTGATCCCCTCCCCAGTTTGCTGCGAACCATTCATGTGTATGTCCAAAATATTTATCAGTTTCTTTATTTTTTTAAAATGTTTTTCGAACTCTCCCTTTTTTATGGGATATTATACAAACTCCTCAAATCTAAAAAATGACGTCTTTGTTAGTGTTGGCTTGTACTGCCCATCGATACTTCCCTATTCATTGTGTGGCTTGGGCCATTTCTATCTTCCTCATCATCCTAGAAGCATACTAGCACCTGCACATTGTCTAAGCTTTCTCGTCCCAATGATCACTCCTCGCCCTCATTGAATCAAGTATGGCCTAGTTCGTCAATGAACTGTGCATCTGCCGGAGAGGTCTTATCCTTAATCCATTTGTAATGACTCCATTTGGTTCATGTGGACGAAACTCCTGAAAGGATTGCTTTGAGTAATCACACAAGGCGGTGACTATTGTGATATCTTAAGTCCCAAATTAAATGGGTGAGGCTTTGATAAGTTTATATACAACATGCACACAAATGGTCACTAGCTTATGTAATTATTTAGAATACTTGATGCACCTAGGGGACCGGCGGACCAGTTATGCGACGGGACGAACCGGCGGGCTTGAAGTCAACGATGTCGGATTGAGTTCAGATTTGGTCGGCTGAAGCGAAACGGCGTGCTGATCAATACTCATAGCTTTTGGCTACAACTAACGATGGATTTTCGCGATTTGGGGTCGTTTAGATGGTTTTTTTTAATTATTTTAGTAATTTTCGAATTAAGGGTATTTTTGTATTTTTTTGCGTTTTTTTTGTCATTAGGGTTAACACCCTTTATAAACTCGTTTTTAGGGTTTTGAGAGGCAGTAGTTTTTGGATGTTTTGAAAAATTATCGATTGTTAATCGATTGAGAGAACAGTTTGTTCCTCGTTATCGTTTCGATTCTTCTATTTAGCCTAATTTCTATCGCGCTTCGGCATCAATTGGTATCAGAGCACAAGTTGCTTGAATCAATGGCTGAACAGAATCGCGGTCGTGGACGGCAGGCTCGTGGTGGCCGGGGGCGTGGAGGCGTTCCTGAAGCAAACGACCAACCGCGTCTAAGAGATCTGCGAGACGTAGAAATTGAAGAACAAAGAAGACGAATCTAGGATTTGGAGCGACAACTTGCGGAGGCGAGGTTGGGCGTTCAATCCGAAGATGAAGCAGAATCCGAGGATCCATCCGATGATGAAGAGGAGGACGTAAACCCTTTTGGGGTTCTGAACCAGGGGCGGAATCGAGGAGTACAACCTGAAAATCAGCGCTCTTCTCAAAATTTTGGAATGAAGATCGAGATTCCCGAGTTTAATGGTAAGGCTCATCCTGATGAGTTTATTGATTGGTTACATACAGTAGAGAGAATCTTTGATATTAAGGATCTGACTGAAGAGCAGAAAGTTAAATTACTGGCTATTAGGCTACGAAAACATGCCTCGATATGGTGGGAGCATGTGAAAAGGCAGCGTGCTAGAGAGGGGGAAATCAAAAGTAAACCGCTGGGATAAGATGAAGAAATTGTTGCAAAAGAAATTTTTACCTACTCATTATAGGCAGGAGGCATTTATTGAGTATCACAACATTAAGTAGCGAGATTTAACGGTCGAGCAGTATACCGAGGAGTTTGATCGTTTGCGAATGCGTTGTGATGTGGCTGAGGAAGACGAGCAAACAATTGCTCGATATTTGACAGGCTTGCGGTATGAAATTTCTGATGTTGTCCAATTACAGCAATATTGGACCTATGAGGATGTGTGCAGGTTGGCCTTGAAGGTGGAAGGTCAGTGTAAAAGGAAGAACGTGAATTCCAAATTTCAGAATCGTTGGCCAGGCAAAGAATCCCGAGAAAAAGCAGGAACATCTGCAGCAAATTCGACACCAGTCGCAGTTAAGGATACGAGTTCTAAACCTGCATCCAAGGAGGGGCAGAGTAGTGCTGAAACTAGCAGGGGAGGAACTGCAGCCAAGCGGTGTTTCAAGTGTCAGGGATTCGGGCATTTTGCTGCTGATTGTTCGAACCGACAGATTGTGATGCTTGTTGATAATCCAGTCTTTGATGAAGGTCCAGTTTATGATGAATCTGAAGGCGAAGAAGAGGATGCGGATGCGGAACAGGAAGGGATTATCTATGCTGATTCTGGTGAGTCCCTAGTCGTTAGAAGAATATTAAATGTTGCTTATCGGATGATGAATCGTGGCTTAGACATAATATTTTTCATACTAAGTGTACTAGTAGAGGAAAAGTATGCAGCATGATAATAGATGGTGGGAGTTGCAAGAATGTAGTGTCCACGACTATGGTGGAAAAGTTGGGGTTGAAAACAGAAGATCATCCTCAACCATACAAGCTGTCGTGGCTTAGAAAAGGGAACGAGGTGAAGGTGAGCAAAAGGTGTCTTGTGCAATTTTCGATTGGAAACAATTACATCGATGAGGTGTGGTGTGATGTAGTCCCAATGGATGCTTGCCATATTTTATTAGGGAGGCCGTGATAGTTTGACAGAAAGACACAGCATGATGGTTTCAGAAATACCTATACCTTCAGGAAGGATGGCCGAACTATTACCTTAGGTCCTTCAGATTTGAGAAAGGAAGTGAATAATAATTTGCTGTCTAGGTCAGAATTTCAAGAAGAGGCAGTGAACGCGCCTGGGTTTTTTGCCATTGTGGTGATGGAGCGGAATTCTGACAGTCCCGAAATTCCTACCCAAGTTTTGCCCTTGCTTGAGGAGTTTGCTGATGTCGTATCGGAAGAGTTGCCACCTGGGTTGCCGGGTGAGCATAATGTTTCTGGAACTTTTAATGTAGCAGATTTGTCACCTTACTACACTAAAGAGGAAGAAGACCCTGAAGAGACTGACGACAATGAAGAAGAAGCGGATTCGAGGACGAATCTTTATCTAGCAGGGGAGGATGATGCACCTAGGGGACCGGCGGACCCGTTATGCGACGGGACGAACCGGCGGGCTTGAAGTCAACGATGTCGGATTGAGTTTGGATTTAGTCAGCTGAAGCGAAACGGCGTGCTGATCAATACTTGTAGCCTTTGGCTACAATTAACGATGGATTTTCGCAATTCGGGATCGTTTAGATAGTTTTTTTTAATTATTTTAGTAATTTTCGAATTAAGGGTATATTTGTATTTTTTTTGCGTTTTTTTTGTTAGTAGGGTTAACACCCTTTATAAACTCGTTTTTAGGGTTTTGAGAGGCAGTAGTTTTTGGATGTTTTGAAAACTTATCGATTGTTAATCGATTGAGAGAACAGTTTGTTCCTCGTTATCGTTTCGATTCTTCTGTTTAGCCTAATTTCTATCGCGCTTCGGCATCAATACTCGTTTTGGGAGCTTGTCCATGTGGGCTAGGCCAGGCTGTTACACTCATCATAGAATATTTCCGTGTTCTGACTCTTGCCAAGCAAGCATCAAAGAGTAGGATTTCATCAATTTTTTTCTCATTGATGTTCTTCTTAATGGACGTCTCACCATTATTGCTGTATGTATGATGCGACTAAGATTTTTTTATACATATTTTAGGAAATGTCACACCCCAACTCCATAAGTATAGGGGCAAAGACACGGCCATCTTTCCACTCGAAGGACACAGCCTCAAACATAACCACCATTAACCTATTATCGAAATATATACATCCATATATATATTTGATAAAATAGTCATTCGATTACATTATCAGAGTTTCTACAATCCGTCAAGAATATGTACATCTCTAACTAACAATCAAACTCAAATTTCTTCTTGCCATAGACAACTCATACCCAAAAATTCCACTATCCAAAAAGTCCTAATAATTGTTGACACTGCCGACAAATTTTTCCAAAACTCATTGATTTGATTCCTTTTTAGGGCATTTCAAGCCAATTTAAAGATTTTGAGCTTAAACGAGTTGGCCAATGTTCGAACATGAGTTTACGGCTATGATTAACTTTCTCAATAAAGTCAACAAACACATCTAAAATCCCATTAGGCCAAATTAATTCAATTTCAATATCAATTTGCGCACAATTAGAATCATTTGAGGAAGTGAGCTTGAAAACAGTGTGTTGGACCGATAGGGTTGGGCTGAGTCACCTTGGTTGACCCGACTCGATTCGGTCCAATGGGTCGATCAAATGGAGATGGCCAAGCTTATAGGGTAGTTTAAAGAGAAATAGAACAATTGGAAGTCTCGGGTCAACCAGGTTTTACCAAGGTTAACCCAAGTCAATCCAAAAGTCAACAAATTATAGCTCAT